CAGACTGAAAATAGTGTACGTCAGCTGAGCTCACAGTTCACTGGTCAGACCTTCTCACACATTTCTAACAACTAGGAATACTTATTTCTAAGAAACCCTGTGGCCTTATTTTGTCTAAATGTAATGTATGTTGGTATATCTAGTATGCAAGAGGTAATGTGAATTCCTGTCCAAGACTCGTAAACTTATCACAGAAATGATGCTTTTGTTCAAATATGTTATCAACTTTGTGAACTTTTATCAGTTTTAAAAGTTAGGTGCCTTCAGCTGTCAAGTCATTATAATTTCTAATTTTGATCAGTATAATTTTTAAACTTTTGATTGGTGTCATAACTTATCATGGCAGAAAGGATTTGGGGAAATATTAATAATTAAACATTTTAAATGAAAGATTTCATGAACCAACTTTCTTTATATGTGATCAAAGTGACAACTTGTTGACAGATGACAGTTACATGCCCTCCAATCTGGTGAAATGATTTTTTTAAGGACAGAGCATATCAAATCATTCAATGTCAAATTATAAGAGCTCACTATTTGATTTTTAATTTATTAGCATATTACCCTGGAAAACTAAAGCCACATATTCTTTTGTTTAAAGAAATAAAGATAATAAAAAATGTTTCAGTCAGAACTAGTTAAGTTTCACCACCATAACAAACAATCTCAAAATGTGTCCTTTTTTGACTCTTCTTTCGTTTTTTGGGGGGAGGGAGTTACTTATTTATTTATTTATGCATTTATTTTTTTATTTTGGTTTCCTTTTCTGTCCATTCATGAAGTGTCAAGGTTTATTTCTTGTTTACACACAGACTTCACTAAGTGGCTGATGGTCTTAGCTCTTCATCACCTGGAGTCAGAAACTCATTTAAAACAATTGAGTATTGGGCTGTGGCAAAAGCAGAAATGTCGAATACGGGGTTATACACTGGCTGCTATTGCCACTTAGGATCTATGTACATGACACGTACTCAGATATGGCTTGCTTCCTTCCAAGTACTGGTTTGTTTGCCATCCTGATGCTTTCTAATCATATCCCATGATATTTATATGGACTTTCCTGGTCCCGTGCACTATTGTTGTAATTCGTCTTTCACTCCATTGTCTGTCCCCATCTCTAGTCCTTTGCCCTACATACAGGTCAGAGGAAAGAACTCAAAGTTTATATTTCTAATCACAGGGTTGATTCCTGCTGTGACCAGTTTCCATTCTCAAGCTACTTAGACTCTTAGTTACCATACTACTTTGTCATTAGCATAACCTTATGATTAGGAAGACAGTTTTGAATAGCAAAAGACAACTATGGTCATTTGGGAAATCCCAAGAATGTTAGGAGCTCATAAATAGGCAACAAAAATACATTTCAGTATTACATCATACAAAGTATTTCCCTTTTCTTTCTTTTATCTTTGTGACAAGATGCTATTCATTTCATTTTCTCAAATGATGGCATCCACAATTATGACTGTTGCTACCTTACTGAAAAGTATCTTTTAGACTAATGAAGAATAAAAAAATATTCTTTGTTACCTTCATTTATTTTTCTTTGATATGTCTCCTTTCAAAATACAGTCCCACAATCACAGCCTCTATGACTTTCATTCTGTCTCAGGAATTTGTATGAGCACTGTATACAAGACAGGCTTGCTGGCATTAGATTTTCTGTGTTGTTTGAGAAACATTTTTCAATCTCTTTTGCAGTATAATTTAGCTGTATTGTGTCTAGGATAATGATTTTTATTTCAGCAGTAAACATTTTATTCCATTATGCTTTAGTTTGAATATTTTTTATGATAGCCTGTTGGTTGTAATTCTTACCCCTTCCCTCTGTAGATAGGATGCTTTCCCTTTCTGGATTCCATAAGATTTTTCTCTTAAATTTTGGTTTTCTGCAGACTGAATATATGTCTAACTTGATAGTATGCACCTCCCTCACTCCCTGTAAAAACATACATACATACATACATACATAGATACATAGATACATACATGCATACATGCCATGCTTGGTGTTTCCTTTATCTTGGATAATGCCAGAATAGCCATTCCATGTATTTTAGAAAAGTATGCTATTACAACTTAGTTCTTATGCTCTACTATTTCTTTCTTCTCCAATTCTTACTGTTATATTTACATCATATCTCTAAAATTATTCCATAGTTCTTAAATTTTAAGGTTTTTTAATATGATGTTTTTTTTCTCTCTCTGATTCTTTCCTTCAATATATTGACTAATATGACAAATCTTTTTAGTGTTCAGTCTTGATAATACTTTTATTTCCATCATTTACAGAATTCCTTCTTGGAATTTCCAGCTCTCAGCTATACTTATTTTTCAGTTTTCTTTCTTTCTCCATTAGAATACCTAATACATTATTGTCAATTATTCAACTTTTTGTATGATAATCACATTTGTGTTATAACTGATTCTTACTTTAAGGATGACTGTTTGTCTACCTGTTGGTATGCTTCATATCTGTGTGTGTGTGTGTGTGTGTGTGTGTGTGTGTGTGTGTGTACACAAATGTGTGACATTGGGTAGTAGGACATGTATATCCTTTGTGGGAGTCTTTATATATGGATATTAGTTAGACATTTGCATTGCTGTGTTGTCTATAGAATTCACGATTTCTAGTTCTGTTTTGCCTACTGTTTTTGCTCTGAACTTAACTCTTCTGAGAGAGAAACTTAATGACTTAATATAGATATACATATACAAAGATATAGATTATTACTAGTTCTTTGAGATTTTCATCCAACGTATTTTGACCATATTAACCATTCTTTCCCCAATTCCTCTCAGATCCACTCTCTCTACCCTTGCCTTCTTACATATCCAACTTGTACTTTGCTTTTTCCTTTTTTTTTTAACTAGTAAGTCTAATCTGTACTGTCTAGGTTTTCTGGGGAATGGGGCCTGTCCTAGAGTGTGCTGAACCTACAGGGTTATATCATTGAAGAAGATGGACTCTTCTTCTCCCAGTCACTAATGTCAATAACTCCTTAATAATTATCTGTGATTTTTCTTAACTACCTTCTGCCCCACATCTTCATGAAGGTTATTAGATACAATAACCTATAGGTATAACAATAAATCACAAATAATTGTAGCCACTTAGCAGATTGATGGTGTAAGGTTCTAACCTAGGTTTCGAACTTTTATAGCCACAGGTTTTGGTGCCTGGTAACAATGCCAGATATATGTTTCTTCTTGTACAGTGTGTTTTAACTCTAGTCAGAAGGTGGTTGATTTCTCCCATGACATTCATGCCACTATTACACCAATGGGCCTGTCTTGTCAGATACCTTATAATTTAGATTGCTGAATTGACAACTTGGTGGGACTGATGACTACTTTTCTTCCCCAGTAGTACACATAACATTACACTGCTGTTCTTTAGGGATGAAGCATTTAGGTGAGTACAAGTTTGATTTTTTTATGTTTTGTGACATAGAATTGGTATCTTTAGCAATATTGTTTTACCACCAATTTCTAGGGGTAACTAAGAGTATTTGCAGTTGTCTATAATGTTTGGGCATCAATGGGGCCCCATTGGCCAACAATTCAAATAGAAGTGATCAATTCCTGGCACTGGAGTTTTTATTTGCTAGCATGTGTTACCTAGTTAGGGTCTTCCAACCCCACCCCATCATAGGTTAACCCTATTTAAGCTCATTTTATATATCTATACATTTTAGAAAACCTCTGCAGTGGTAATTTTATATAAGGATGATTTTCAAAAGGTCTTTAAGTTTTAGTTGTCTCTCCCTGCATTCTCTACTGTCATCTCCCATCATATTTAATTATCCCTGTTTCATTGTGTCTTGAAGTTTGGGCTAAAGTCCCCTCCTTTTATTCTAGAGTATTGGTGACATGAAAATCAGTATGGTGGAAGGAAAATATACTCTATAATCTTTCCATTGAATGTCAGTGGTTCTTTGAGAATGTGACCAGGTCCGGGTCCATTACACATTGGCATGATTTGGAAATGAAATACTCTTCATAAATTGAAGATTAGATGCAAAGACCAGAGGCTAAAACATTGAGCGGTAATGAGGGTTTTGACCAGGTCAATGTATTTATGTAAGTATAGAATCATAATTTGATGGATGTCAGTATTGAAGAGTGGTGGAAATATGCATGAGGAACTAGTTGGAGACTTTTCTTTAAAGACTGTATCTCTTTTGTTTTTTCTTTGGTTTTGGTTTTTTGAGACACAATTTCTCTGTAGCTTTGGAGCCTGTATTGGAAGTCACTTTGTAGACCAGACTAACCTCAAACTCTCTGAGATCTGCCTGTCTCTGTCTTCCAAGTGCTGGGGTTAAAGGCATGCACCACTCAGGAGTCAGAGGCAGGCAGATCTTTGTGTGTTTAACGTCAGTCTAGTCTACAGAGCAAATTCCAGGACGGCTAGGTCTACACAGAGAAACCCTGACTTAAAGGGAAAAAAAATAAACATTTTAAAGAGTATGCCTTATTCCCTGCCTTTTGCTATCTCTGCTTCCTGATCAACAGTCAAGCAATCACAGTTTGAAACCTTTCCTCTTTTTAAATTGATTCTATCAAGTCTTTGTCATAGTAATGAAACATCGACTACATACACATGGTTGATGGATTTACCAGCTCTGTCTTGCTTACTAATCCCTTCCTTGACCACAACATTCTGAATTTATTTTCTGGAGAATTTGTCTTGCCAGAAGTATTTGAGTGATGACTTCTAAAATATTGACATGTTGTAAATAAAATGGATATTTATGCTTCTATTTACTTGTCAAGGTAATAAGCAACTTAGCAAGCACAATAATTATTTTTACATATCTCTATGTTATTTAGGAACATATATGTTTCCAGGCGATAGATGTATATATACGTGTGTGTGTATGTATGTATGCACATATATGGATGCTGACACATTTAAATATTTTTTAATTCTGTTAAAAGTAAGTCAGTATTAATTTATTTCAAAGAGGTTCCGGCACGAGACCGGGGCGGTGGCGCGCGGCAGGGGACTGTTGGGGTTTGCTTTGGTCCTTGTGGTCACCATGCAGCTGACCGTGAAGGCGCTCCAGGGCCGAGAGTGCAGCCTACAGGTGCCGGAGGACGAGCTAGTGTCTACGCTGAAGCACCTGGTCTCGGATAAGCTGAACGTCCCTGTGCGCCAGCAACGTCTGCTGTTCAAAGGCAAGGCCCTAACAGATGATAAACGACTGTCAGATTACAACATTGGGCCCAACTCTAAACTCAACCTAGTCGTCAAACCTTTGGAGAAGGTGCTACTGGAAGAAGGGTCTGCCCACAGACTGGTCGACTCCCCACCCCCACCCCTCTGGCAGTTGATCTCCAAAGTCCTGGCCCCTCACTTCAGTGTAGCAGATGCCAGCAGGGTCCTGGAACAACTACAGAGGGATTATGACAGATCTCTGAGCCGCCTAACACTGGATGACATCGAACGTTTGGCCAGCCGCTTTCTACACCCTGAAGTAACTGAGTCTATGGAAAAGGGGTTCTCCAAATAGCATTTCTGGGAGTGGGGACGGGGGGAATCCCAGGCTCAAGGTGGGAGTCTGCTATCACCACCTGCAGTTCTACCTTGTGTTCAGTAAGCAAACTGAAGCCGAAAGTGAAGTGATAGACAAGCATGGGCCACAGATGGAATATCCTGGGCCTTCGTGACAAAGCTCTTCTTGGGGGGACCCTATCTGCTTGGCTCCTCCTGGAAGTTAGTCTCATCCATGAGGGAAAGCAGGTGACTCCGCAAGGCAGTGTCACAACTAGGACTCTGCCTTGGTCTCCTCACCCAGAGTTCTCCAACAGCATGAGATGGATGCTTCCTCTGCCACCTGTGTACAGGGGCTTTCAGTTTGCACACCTTCATTGCTTAAAAAGAAACTCAGGGTGCTGAGGAGGAGATAGAAATGTAAGTTGGATACAGTGTTTCTTCTTTTAACTGAACCATGCCTGAGTGCTAAAGGTCATGTAAGTACTAGCTCCTTTGAGCAGGACCCCCAGGAAGCAGTTGAGGCTGGAAGATAACCACCTGCAGGACACTACTGACCCTCCACCCTTGCCAAGGAAGCCACTCTGAATGTTGTCGGGGCTACACTGGCCTTTCTTGCCCAAGGGCCTCCTGCATGGGACATTGTGGGACAAATATTAAGTTCCCATAATGGAATGATAAACTCAAGTGAGGCCTGAGGGGATGAGCAGCTGATAGACCCTGCTCTTCCCTGAGACCTGGGGTACCACATCAGGGACCTGCTTGTGAGCACATATATGGACTGGCAGCTTAGATAATAAGCTTACCAGTGTCCTTGTTCACTTTGAGTCAGGGAACGTATTTGGAAAATTAAATAACACTGAAGGTGCATGTGAGACTTTTTACCAAGATGAACTGAATTAATAAGCTAGGCTGCTTTTGGTTTCAAATAATTGGTTTAGCAACATAGGAAACTTACTGGCTTACAAAAATGAAAAACCCAGGAGTACTGGCAGTGGATGAACAATTTCACCAAATATCCAGCTTTTTTCCTGCCTCCCTCTAAATTCTCCAGGATCTGCTTCATCCTCACCACTACTTCCAAGGATCAAAGGGTGGCTGCCTGCAGCTTCATCAAAACCTTTCATTCGCTGCCAGTGAGGAGCACTTTCTCTCTCCGTAGCATAGCTTCTGTCTCAGATGCCCCAGCAAATAAATGTTCTCTTATTGGTCAAAAAAATTATTTCAAAGATTCTCCATATATCTGCATCCAAAACCAGGATATAGTTGCAAACATTCATGAAAAAATTGTATCGTTAAACTGGTCTCAGTGGATTGTTTTTCACACTGTGTCATGTCTCAGCATTCATGCACCATTTTCTAATACAACTCTTATAATCCCTTAGTGAATTGAAAGACAACTCATATTTCCAAGATATGCTGTTCTTGTGGATTATAAGTCTTCCCCCTAGTTTTTAATTCTAACACATCCATAACAAAGCATGTAATATATAAATCAGATAACTGTAAATCTGACTTTGGCTATGCTAATGGTTTATTTTTGTCCTGTTTGTCTTACTATTCAAGGTTAATAAAACAGATCTCATACAATTTGTTTTTTAATTAGTTAAAGGAATGGCAAATTTCTAGCAAAGATCACCGTTAATGTATTTAGACTTAAATATATTTGAGCTTATTTTTGAGAAGGTATCTTTGTATTAATGGAAGGTTTGAGGAAGCACTATCTTCTAGATATGACATATTTACTACATCATGAACTCATAGCAGCTGTGGTTATTTGCATAAGACTTGAATAAGAACAAACTATTCAAAATTCACAATTAAAATAGAGGGAGCACTCCAGGCCTCATCTCACACTGAGAAATTATGGCAATTGATAAGTGGTGGAGGGGTGAATATCTCTGCTTTTGAAATTATGGACACATTCTTGTGGCTGATCTCGCACTCACACACATAAGAGCAACACTAGTTGAACTTAGTGATTTATTAAAAAATGATACTGGGAGAGGGCATGATGAAATGATGGCTAGAATGGGACATGGGGATTTGGAGATAGAGATTATCATATGTCCTTGCATAATTGTATGATATTATCAAGAATAGAGAAGCTTATTTGCAAAATTTTGATTTAAGGAATTTCTTATTGATCCATTAAGTATATTTCCAAATTTTATGAATGCTATAATAATCAATTTTTATCATGGTTAAACCTCTATCAAGGCTATCAGAAACAGATTCCTAAAAAAGAGTAGTGAGTAAATTATGGGTACAAACTACTCAAAGAATTTGCAACGAAATGTAAAATCATCTCTAAATATTGATTAATTGTATTGTTGATAAGAAACTGTATTTTTAAATCAAATGCCAGATGTGTGATTTCTTTGTTTGGAAACATTTAAGCTGTCTGCTATTTTGATTTGATGCTATTTGATTCCCATGCTTAATAAGAAAATCCATGTTGCCTCCCAGAACCTAGTGTTCCCTGGGTTTAGTCTGTATGCTGACATAGAAATTACTGACAGTTTTTACCAAGAAGGATTGCCTTATGAAAATTTGTTAAAGACTCATCGAACTTGACTTATATTTATCTCAATTGATCGATTGCACTCACACCCGCAATTTTCACATTTGTTACAATACACACTGAAAAGAAAAATAGCTAAGAGTATAAATTAGCTCATATTTGCTCTAACTGCAAACATGAAAGGGAGTACATTAAAGCTAATCATCCTTCTATTACCTTGTCATTGCTGCATTTTTTACTGATACACGATGTGAAATGAAAAACAGAAGCAGCTTTGGGAGTGCAGTGCTGATGGAGTGGAAGAGCCCTCAGCTTGTTTCTCCTGCTTGCTCATCTGTCATTTGGGCCGTGTAAATTGGGTACTCAAGCATGAACTTCAGGTTTTTCTAAGGGCACTATGAAAAATTGAGCTCTGTGAACTCCTGAACAATAGAATGCAAAAAGGGTTAATAAATTGAAGATTGCATTGATTTTACAGAGACCACATTCATTATCCTAATAGCCCAGACAACTTAGCTATTTAAGTTTTTATGTAATTATTATATTGAGCATGAAAAGTTAACTTCTAGGAAAACTTATTGATAGAATCTTAACTGAAAATATTTATATTAATATCATCCTTTATGAAAACAATGTTCCAGGTATTTTTTTATTTTTCATTTTTATTTATTTATTTTGGTTTTTCAAGACAGAGTTTCTCTGTATTGTTTTGGAAGTTGTCCTGGTTGTCCCTCAGTAAACCAGTCTGGCCTCAAACTCACAAAGATCTGCCTGCCTCTGCCTCCCAAGATCTGGGATTAAAGGTGCCAGCAAGCATCCCATGTGTTTCACATAACGCATGCAACACAATCCTGAAGTGCTCAAACTAGTAAACTTTTAGCTTACATTGTAGAAAAAGGTTATATACAGTCATAATTTCATATAAATAAATATATACATATAGATACAAAGATAGGCACATAAGTAGAGATGATAGGTAGATAGATGATTGATAGATAGAAACTTACGAAAACAGTTTGAATTAACCATTTAAATAAAAATATTTCCTTTGTGAGACAGGTATTAAAACAAATAACCATATGATCTATTACATGTTAAGGGATAGGTGAGTACTAGCATAAAAAGAATAGCAAACAGAGAAGGAATGATAAATGGGCCAAGGTTTAGAATCTAGTATGGGTGTAGTAGGTACTGTAATTTTATCAGGAATGTAAGGGAAAGACTCTATTCTTATGTAGTGCACAGATGAATTTATATAAGGAATGACGGACTAGGCTAGTCAGGGTTGCTAACAAAAATAACAATGGATGTGAGATGATATTTGCATCTGTGTACCATTGCCAAAGAAACCAGAGGATCCAGAGTGCTGGTGATAGATGGTCAGGTACAACACCAGCAGCCAGAAACCAGCCAGGGCTTCCATTCCAAGTAAGACAGGGATGCTGCGGGATTCTGATCCAAGCAGCTAAATGTCTGGGAACAATTGCTGCAAAACATTTTTCTTGCAGTTTTTTCAATGGGGTGTAGGGAAAGTCTTCAAATTTGCAAAAGTCTTAATTTTATTTTTGTTACTGTGAGAAAACAATGCAATGGGGAGAGGGTTTGTTTTAGCTCACAATTTCACGTCACAGTCCATCATTGCAGGGAAGTCATGGCAGCAGTAAATAGAAAAAAAACTAGTAACCTCCAAGAGCAGAGGGAAATGAATGCATAACTTACTGCTCAGCTCTCTGTTCCTACTTTTTGTACAGTTCAGGACCTAAACACAGGGAATGGTAAAGCCCACTTTTAGCCCAAAGATGTCCACCTCAATAACACAATCAAGATAGTTTCCTATAGATATTCCTATAGTCCAATCTGATGGAGAAAATCTCTCCTTAACACTCTCTGCCTGGACATTGTAAGTTGTGTCAAGTCGACAGTTTGATATGAATCACAACATCTATATTCCTTATCTACTCGGTATACAAACATATCACTGTTAAATGATAACCATTACATTCCTTGTCTTCAAGGTCTCATGTCTTGGTCTTGAACAATTCTAATATCTTAAATATCTAAAATCTCTTCACTATGAAATCCTATGGAATCAAAAATAAGTTATACATGTCATACATATAATTGCATAAAGTGAACATATTTATTTCAAATTGGGAAAACAAGAGTATTAATAAAATGAATAATCACACCAAGGCAAACCTAAAGTCCATCAGAAAAAAATAGTAAAGAATCAATGTCTGTTGAACATCATATACTTGAAATTTAATCTTCTGGGCTTCAAAAGGCAGCTGTAGCCCACAACTTTTCTCTTAGGCTTAGGTCACTCCACTTTACACCTGCAGCTATCTTTGTGGATGTCCCAGGATGCTTGCTTCTATGAAATATTGGGGTCTTCATTGCAACTGAAGCTTCACCTCCATAGCTTTTTGTAAAAATCTCTCAAGACTTCTCTACATGTACTCTGACACTGTCACTGGGTGCATGATCTCCATGACAACATCAGTCTTTGCATCTTTTCCTTCAGAGCTAGTAGCATGTGGGAGACTTTCACAACACTGCCTACCTCTGCTGTGAGCTAAAGGTATAGTCTGCATTCCTTAGACCACTGCTATAACAACTTCCCTCTGCCCTTCCACCCCAATGAAATACTTGCATAGGCAGGTATTTTGAGGAGCAAGGAACTCCCTTGGTAGCCTTATTTCTTCTAAATAAATTGGTATCCCCACTGGATGAATCCGATAGGAGGGGCTTTTACTCTTAGCACCTTGTTTCTTCTATTCCAGAACAAAGAGATTTCACTTAAGTGTGACTGATACCCTTAAGAATCATAGCTGTTTTCTAAGCATCAGCCTTAGTTCCCTCTCTCCAATTGTGAAACTCCCCCTGCAGTACAAATTATGCCATCATCTTCAAAGTTAATTTCAGTAGATTATTCCAGACATAGCAGAATACAGTCGAAGTCTTGGCCAAAATACCAAATGAACACATGCATGGTCCCTTTTCTGATTCCAAAGAGGAGAGAATCCTTTTCCCTCTCTGAGCCTTATGAGCCAGAATCCCACTCTCTGTATTTCTCTTGGCAGTCTTGTCTTCCAAGAACCTACCAGGATGGGCCATTAAGCTCTGATTCCACTATTCAAGCTTTTTTTCCCACAAGGTTCAAAATCTTTCACTTTCCAGTAACAAAACAGTTGGAGGAAGAACTCTATAGGTTGTGGTTAAATGCTGAGGTTCAAATATGGATAAATTTTGGATATATAGTAAAAAAATATATGTGTATACTGGAAAAGGTGTTTCTTCTTAACTGTGAGAAGAAAACATTGAAAAATTTCAAGTAAGCATATTAAAATATATGGGTAAACAAGGTAATCATGCAATTATTTCCTAAAAAGCTTGTGTTTTTTATGATGTCTTTGTACCATAAATTGGTAGGCTCTGGGGGTGGTGTTCAGGAAATCGAGCAGTAATCTAAATCCTTTGTAGTATGCACAAAAAGGAAAACTTGAAATTTGCTTTTCCCAAATGGAGTTTTATGCTCTATTGGCCATGCTTGACATCATTTACATGGGATGAGTTTTCATCTATGTAAGTGCTCATAGTGTCTGGGTTTAGCCATAGAATTATTGAAATACATTTATGAATCCTGCATGAACTTTGGAAATTACCTGTATTAGAAAATATTTCAATTCCTCTCTTGGTTTTCTTGTTCTTTGTTTCAGCATATCACACTATATTTTCTGCCTCTCCTTGAGTCTTTAAACATTTCAGATTATTTATCTTGATACTCTAGCATTTGTTGTAAAACATTATTATTTAAAAAGATATCTTTACTTCCCCAACAATCGGATTATTTCCAGTTATAAATTCAATCAGAGATAACTGGATGATACTTCTATCGCACATGATTGTTCCAAGATTCTTTTGGTGATATCTGATAACAAATAGTTTAAAGGGCCTGAGATAGCTTGACTTTCATGCCAGGTGCCTTGTAAAGGTTGGGCTATCGAGTACTCTTATAGTTACTGGACTCATCATAGAGTACAGGGATT